CAGTCAAAGAAGATCCGGCTGCGACTCTGGGTAGGAGCGGGGAGGGCGGGGGGATATCTGACGTGCTGATCACAGATAACTCCAGCTCCATTTTGCATGATAGGTCTACAATGCCATTTCAGTATACTGACCCCAAAATTGCAAACCCCAGACTTCGCTGGAACTTCATGTAGGGGGAGGTTATTTAGCACGCTGCTTACTAATAAGATCTCCTTAACGGTAAGCACCTTATTGTGGAGTTAAGATGTCGGAATCGCATGATGTCGAGTTCCAAGATCTCGCTCCAGATTTCGATAGAACCTTGTCCAGAGGGGCGACACGTTGATCACAAAGATCAAACACTTTTCGCGCAGCGAGGCTCTTGGTGGAGTTAGTGCGGTAAGGGGCATTCAGCGTTTAAGCGGAGTTATGATATGTCACAGCATATACATGAACCCTTTTCGGTTCTTAGGTCAGTTTTTAGATCTCTCCACGACTTGGCCTTATTATGCGAAATAAATGCAAAAATCGTGATCGAAACAATTGGATAACCCATATTAACAAGGTTCCACACATGTGTGGAATTCCAGTGGCCCATATCTACCGTGACTTTGCGAAAAGCTATTCAAAAGCGAAAAGGTAATGTCGTTCGTGTTCAGCTTGTCGACTAATCGCTCCAGCCCGATCTCCATTCAAATCCATGACTTTGATCTCCATTCAAATCCATGACTTTGACCCCAAATCGTATTTCCACCTAACTCCGCTAATACTACCATGACGAATGAATTCCTTAATCGTGATCAGCATGCATATCTGGACCCCTTGTGCAAAGTTACATCGAATTTCGCAATTTGGTCCCAAATCACAAACCTACCGCAACATTATCGTAAGATGCTATCGTAACGAATGTACATGGTGCTCGTGATCGTTTGTTGAAATAACCAACCCAATGTGCAATGCTTCAGCGAAATCTGACACCTTGACCCCATACCACATGTTCACCTTAAAGGCAGTGTCCGGGCAAAATGGGGGTTCTGAGATTTCTCTGCCATGTGAAAGTAGCCCCCCTGAGACACAACATCGCGCAACTGCGAGCATAAGACGTTCGACCTAAAGCAAGAAAAACGATTGCAAATTGGGGAAACTTACGCCTTGGGGCGGGGTCCTCCGAGTTGTTTGAATTCCTGCCAGACGGCAGAGTACGTACGCCGCCACAGTTAAAAACCGTGCGCTCTTTGCAACCTCTGCGTCTTAGCCTGGCGGGGATCCCCAAATTTCGAAATGTGAGGACTTGGAAAATGCATGTTCTCGCCGTTTTCGCGCCTTCTGATGTGGATTTTCGGATTCAGCGTTGCGGATAACCCCAGATAAGTTGATTTTTTAGAAGTCGAGTTTCTGCCCGGACACTGCCTTTAAATCATCGAAGAAAATGCACGCGGAGTGAATGTCATTTCATGACCAACACGTCAGATAAGCCCCATAGGAAAACTTTCAGCAAAATTCGTGATATTGAATATAGCTTGCACTAGGTGGATTATGTCTCCACTGTGTCACAACATACCACATTCTGGAGCTTACCAACAGTAATTAATAAAAAGCCATCATTCATCATCTTGAAGGAGTGTAAGAAGGTTTAGAGTGCCAAGAACAGAACCAGTTTGTGAATAAGCTCGGAAGAAAACTAGGAATAGGAGATGGTGCTCTAAACAACATTCATGCTCCAGTCGATGTACCCTCAGCTAAGGGCGGATCTACAGTCTCTCAACGGTGAGACCCTTCACTAGCCAGAAGAAATCAGCGCTTAATCGACACATTGAAAACCTATCAAAAACATAAGAGAGCTAATGGTTTTTGGCAAGAAGCATGTACAGAGTTCACAGACTTCAAAGTAAGAGCGAAGCATTCGAAGCGAAACTCACGAAAGAGCTTTTGAGCTGATCTTTTAGAAACGAGAAGTAATATTTGCGTTGTAAACAGGGCTCAGCGCGAGCTGGCAACAGGGAAATTTCAAAACGAAGTCCTGTTTGATCTTGAAAATTCGTACAAAGTCTCCTTTGACCTATTTTGAAGACTCGTCATTATTAGATTATGTAAAAGTATGTAGTAGGGTTTTCATGCATGCTGATTTCATGGAACAACTTTTCACAGCTTTCTAAGCTTTTCAAATGGTTGAATCACATCTTGAGAAGCAGAAAAAGCCAATTTTTCGACTGCGGATCAGACCGAGTAATTTTCAGACGGCTATAAAATGCTGAAAAGAAAACATTATGAAATTGTTTTTTCTCTGCATGTAAACTTCTACAGTGTAGATACATCCTATGTAAAAAGTATGAAAACTTAAATGAGCAAAGTGTCGTGCCAGCCCAGCTGGCACCAGCTGGCACCAGCTGGAACGATGCCAGTTAATTTAGAAAAAAGTTTAGCACAGCCTGCATTTAAATAACTCTTCACAAAGGTTTGGGCCCATAATTCGGGTCCCCCGACGCGCATGCACCCACCAAATTTGGTGCCATAGTTGTGGCTGAAAAGTTCTGTCCCGTCAGGCGGAGCGACGCGCCGGGAACTGTATGAATCAGTTGTGCCACATGCATCGGACTATTAAGGGCTTTCGTCAGGTTGCTAGGGCGTCCCCCGGAGGCGACGCGCGTCATTGCCCGCATGGCGCGAATAGTGAGCTAGGGCTACCTGCTCCCGAACGAGGCAGGCCAAAGAAGAGAGTCCAGGAAGTTCGACTAGCGACGATCAACATAGGAACATTAACGAACCGCATTCGAGAGCTATGCGATGTATTCAGGGAACGACACATCGACATCGCATGTGTACAAGAAACAAAATGGAAGGGAAGGCAGGCTAAGGCCTAAGGCATACCTCTCGCGATTTCGCGAAATCGCCAGATCCTCGCAACTTGGCGATTTGCCAAATGTCTAAAGATTGAGCATGCAAGGCTCTCAGTTGCATGGGTGCGTAGATTCCGTAAACTGTAACAAACGCAGCAAGTCTGGCCCAAGCAAAGTGCGTCACCAGCTATGGAGAGTCGTTGAAGTGCCAAATCGCGCGGCGACTAAAATCGCTTGAGATATGTCTTAGGTCTAAGGACATCGGCGAGGGATACCGCCTCTACTACAATGGAAGAAAGACAAGACAAGACAATAAGGTAAGACAATAATCTTTTGAGCTTCTTCATTTAACTTGCAAATTTTTAGGAGAATTTTTTTCGGAAGTTTTCTTTTGCGAAGTCATAAGATACGTAAATACTTCAACAAAATAAACCTTCGCGAATTTTTCGGGAGTGCTTTTAGAAACTAAATTTACGTTGGTCTTTCCTCTAAGCCTTTACGGATCAGGAAAAAAGTTTTATCAGAAAAAGAGCTATTTGCATTGAATAACTCTTATTTGCTTGTTGTTTGATGCTTTATGAGGTTTGGGATAACTAATGGTGAGGTTTGGGATGACCATGAAAGGAATTTGTTAGCATAAAAAAATTATTTCAAAAAATTTAAAAATCCAGCTTTGAATGCCAAAAATAGCATCGCCTTGCATTTTGGTTACTCCATCCAATAGTAATTAAAGCTGCTTAAAGTGTATTTTTCACAAATAGCTAAAATAAAGTTAGATACAGAATATGGGTTGGAGATCCTGACAATTATTGGGCGAATATAAAAAGAGTCTGAACAGGAATACCGCTAGAAGAGGTGCAAATTCTGCATCGATTGTTTAGAGCTTTTGTCTGTCTGCATCGTGAATGATTTTAAGGCAGGTCTTTAGAAGGCACGAACTTTTGGACCGACTTGATAGAAACATAGAAGGGAAGCAAATTCAAGTTGCTAACATTCAATCTCATTCGCAAAACTACTGTGGTCAAAATCATATGGTTACGAATTTTTCATTGACGTGAATCGCTACAAAATCTGCACGCTCGTTGTTTCGCTTGAAATAATTGCTTTGGGATTATAATCTGCAAAGAAAACACACGCATTTTTCTCGCGGGGTCTGTAACGAAAACAACTTCTTCTTTCAAATGGCGTTGAAAAATTTCCACAGCCCCGTTTCCATTGTCACCATAAATCATTTCATCCAACATGTCTCAAGACTGATTAGCAATCACAACATGATCGCATACTACTCATATTACTACAGAATACAACTTGAAAAGGTTTTCTTAGTTCAAGTTCTAGCTTTGACTGGATCAGCATCATTATCATCGGTTTTCGATTTTTGGGCCCTTAAGACTCGGTTAACATCTACGATTAGTGGAAGACGCAGCAAACATGTTGCTTTTGCTAACGTAATGGTTCACAACTTCTTGATCTGATTCTGTAAGTTTCTATTCAATAGTATATCACACGTTTTTTAGTTCAAAGCAGAGCTGTTCAATTGGAAATTCTTTCTTGAGCTCTTTATGGGAAGATAGTAGGATTTAACCAATTCAAAGACTAATTCTGAAAACTGCTCAGACAATAACTCGGACGAGCGGCGGGCCTTAACGGCTTTCCGGGCGAGCGGCGAGCTTTGATTTGTGGGCGTGGCTTTCTTGCGGACGAGCGGCGGATCCTCGCTACCGAGCTTGCGAGCGGCGGACCTTGATTTGACCAGCGGCGGCCCATCCCCTCAAGCGGGTGAGCGGCGTACCATTAACACGTTAGACTAACTTGCCATCATTTCTATGTGCGAGTCATTCTCATTTAGTGTAATTGCGGCTTGAGAGCAGTCAACTGGCAGTGACCTTCAACGATAAGCATAAGTGTACTCAGACATTTATGGCGAGCACCCGCCGGCTACCCACGGACGACGCCACGCCCAGCCCGAGGGGGCGCCGATAAGTACCCGGTAACCACCCGACAATGCCGGCGGATGACCCGATAGGCGCGGGAACGATGGCAGCGGGTCCCGGTAAGCGTCCGATTAATGCGCACTGATACATTGATACATTGATACAATTATATCAACCTCGAGGTTGATATAATTGTATCAATGATTGCTTGTAGCAATATGATTAACCTGCAAAGTTGTAGTGGGGAAGGATGAGCATTGCATCACAAAGTAATTCTCATTTTCTCTCCATCAGATACAAAAGCCAGCGAATACTCAAGTTTTGGCTCGTCGGTTGCAGCCTTCTTCAACCAGCTTTCGCACAAGGATACATTCAAAGAGCTTCAGAGGTTAGCTCTAAGAGTAGATAAGAATTGAAGTATTACTATCCAAATGAGAATTACAGGTCATCCAAATAAGAAAAGGCGCTGGCAAACGGATGGAAAGCAAGAGCGACAGTGAGAGTAGAAGTGAAAAAAATGCGGGTTTTCCGTCTTTTGGGCGTAAAGACGGAGGTGAACAAAGTGAGATGAAGCCATTAAGTCACGAGAGCAATGAGAACGGCGGAATTGGAGGTGACGAAAAAGTTAGTTTGAAGACGATTTTTGACATTGTACCTTGGTGCCCTTCACATCTCTTCGGAAATCACTCTTAACCGTTTAATAGCAGTTCCCTTGAAAGCACGGAGCTGCTGCCAACAAGCGGCGTAAATTGTTCATGCAAGCAAATAAAAACCCACTTCGCAAATAGTGCTGGTCTGTATAAATGTCTATGTTCTTACCAAGGGTCGATTAATGGAAAATCTTTTCTTCGCTCTTTCAATTTTTTTTGAAGTCGGTTTTATAGAAAACCGTTTTAGCAATGTAACATATATATTTTATTGCTGATAGACAGAGGAAGGAAATGAGCACCCGTTGATTACGCCAATGATCTGTACTTGTCGAAAAAAAACCTTGATCATTTCTTTTGACATACAACAAGAGCTGTGCTTACAACTCAAGTGAACTTCTCTTGCTCTTAGTGGAGAATCGCTTGGACATTTTTAGAAGATTATCTAGAAATTAATGTTGAAGAGGTATCTCGACCTCCTAGGTCTACCCAGCATTAGTGCATGCGAAGCCCGTTCCCCGTGGGAGATTATGCTTGACCGCTGGGTAAGCATAACAACTATCGAGACTTCACCTTATAACCAAGGCAGTGAACCTTATAAGACCAAAACACAATAGCAAGAGCCGCCAAACGTCTACGAAGACGCGTCCCAGCAAAGCGTGGTTTATTGGAATTAATGGTTGTATTCTGAGGGCCGCATGCACTAACCTCCCCGCGGGGAGGGGATCGCAGCTTAAAAGAAAGCTTTATATTTCAAAACTCCAGATACCTGGATTTCACGTTGTGTACCTATCCGTAAGTATTCCTACTACCCTTCACTATGAACATGTTGAACAGGAGCGAGAAGCTGTACGAACCGCATTTTCCAGCTTTTGTATGATCCCTGATGATCCCCGGCGCTTTTCTTTGAAATCATTTTTCTTCGATGTTAACGAAAAACCTTCAAAGTTGTGCAGATTATCTAAACCGACAGTGCTAAGCATGTTGCTGATAAGAACAAATGATGTTTTGAAGTCATGAAATTTTCGATGATCCACGGGTCGAAATTTGAGGTTTGCCGGAAAATTCGACTTTTTAAAAACTCATTTGTTCTCATCAGCAACATGCTTAGCACTGTTGTGTCAGATGTTCAGTACGACTTTGGAAGATTTTCGTTAACTTTGGAGTAAGAAAAATGACTTTAAAGAAAAGCGCCGGGGATCATCAGGGATCATACAAAAGCTGGAAAATGCGGTTCGTACAGCTTCTCGCTCTTGTTCAACATGTTCATAGTAAAGGGTAGTAGGAATACTTACGGATAGGTACACAACGTGAAATCCAGATACCTGGAGTTTCGAAATATAAAGCTTTCTTCTAAGCTGCGATCCCCTCCCTGCGGGGAGGTTAGTGCATGCGGCCCTGAAACTCCCCAAATCAAAACGCGGAGTGGGAAGGTGCATCGACAATGTGAGAATGCGCAAAAATTTATATTCAGGATTCTGCTTTTGATAGTGCGATTTCTTTTTATTCTCGCTGCTCTTACACTTACAATTTTTGACTCAAACAAATACTCATAACTCCATGAACGTCCCGCAGACTAGGAAGGCAGGTTGGAATCAGTGTTTGTGCCCCCCCCCCCCTCCCGAGTATGGTAACTCAAGGGCTCATTCCACTAAACATGCTTTCTTTGTGAGCGCAAAGAAGAAAAAGGAGAGTTTGGCATCTGCACCATGTAAGTAGCAGTGGCGATCCCCGGAGTTTTCGGCGGGAATGAGGGAATTTTTTTTGATTGAAGGCGCGTGGCGTTAGCCACGCACTCCGAAAAGTTTTTGGGATGCGCCAAAATTTTTGCGGGGCGCCCCGAAAAAATATTTTGCAAGGCTAATCTGAATTTTGAATTCTTAAAAGTTATCCTGTTATTTAAAATCAACAAATTATTTGCGCATGTTTATAATTTATCCAAAGAGCTATTAGAACTGCTCCTCGGTACGCCAACGATAAGTAGTTGCAGAAGCTTTAGTTCTGTACAGCCTTTCAAGCAACAATCATACCTGTTTTGAAAATTTTCTAGAAAGCAAGAAAACTGGTGAAAAAGTAATGTTATCTTACCTCTCGACTGTTTCCACACCTTTCTTACAGTGTCATAAAAGCCGACGAGTCCCTTTTTGGTATTTACAGAGGAAAGCGGATTTGTTATACTAATAATTGGATGGCTAACTCATACTTTCAGTCACTGTCGTGACAACGCTCATTGTGTTACTTAGGATACCGGAAAAGGGCTTGCAAGAACCCTTACTCTAACTAATGGTGTCAACATAATTGTTGGAATCATCATAGGAGCGGGCATTTTTGTGGGTCCTACAGGAATCCAAGAAGGTAACTCAATCTTTCACATTGTTGACATTTTTTGACCTTTTCAGCTGCTGGGTCTGTTGGAGCCTCACTTATCATGTGGATTGTTTGTGGTGTTTGGTGCGGCCTTGGTGCATACTTGTACGCTGAGTTAGGGACCTTGATTACCAAATCCGGAGGAGATTACGCTTATATCATGGAGGCATTTGGCCCGTTTATTGCTTTCCTACGTCTGTGGATTGAAGCCATTGTCGTGAGGTGATAAAATTTTTTTGTAATCGAGCAATTTACTGTGGCTCGTTATTCATTCCTCTTACGGTACTCCGTGCATTTCACGGCTCCAGTGGCTATATGAAGCAATAATGTCTACTGATTTTACCCCTCCGGGTAATGAAACAGACATGAACAGGATTACTTCCAAGGCCTTGAAATTGTGCTCACAACCGCGGTGAATCTGCAAGATAGAGAATCATCACTACATTTTTGTATCGCGAATGGGATTTTCGCTTGGATTAATTTTGGGGAAGAGAGGGCGGGAGAGGGGAGTAGAGGAATTGATGAAGCTGGTAATTGAAAAAGGTTTTTAAAGTTTCTTCATGGGGCAAAATTACTGTTATCTCGCTGACTCTTACGCATACACCTCAGTGTTTTCAGCTGGATGTGCAGTATACCGAATAATATTCTCCTATACTGAATAATATTTTCCAACTCAAGTACGCTTCATTCGCGTTGTATCCTATGTATTCTATCTTATTTATGCTTGCAATGGTTGCAAAGCACCAAATCGTGAAGATCTTGCGTGTTGGGATTTAAAAGTTGCCTCAGCATTATCCATTGCTTCATCATATCCTTCAGCTGTTTCTAATACTCCGAAAGATCTAACATTTTTCCAATGGATCCCTCCACAAAATAAGAATACAATAAACTTGCCTAAAATTCAAGTGTTTATGTAGCGTAGTGTGAAAACTTTGAGATTCACAGGCAAAGGATACACGAGTTGCTTTAAGCACCAGGAATTTTCGAGACTTTCCATATCTCCTTTCTTGTTGCCAGCAGTAGTGCATGCGTTGGGGTAAGACATCTGGAGAGTTGTGCAAGGCATACGAATTACACATACTGCAACAAAAGAATAAAAGTTTGTGAAAGCGCATAATCCAGCAGCGAATGATTGAGCTGGAGTGGAGAAGAAACGAGCTGGGAAACTGCTTTTAGTTGTGCCTCAGCTAAACTGAACGACTAAATCGTCGCAATTTCCAATCAGGGATCGGCGTAGCTGACAAGGGAAGGAAGATTGGTCGAAGTGGCCTTTTGAAATGTGGTTATACTCCCTTGTAGAGCTTGGAACGCTGATTCCAAATCTACCTTTGCTATCTGCTGCGGGCTTCTGGGCGAGGAGTTATGAAGGTTTTTGTGAGTAAAAATCTGAATGCAAAAATAGGGTAAAATCAGTCGTAACCTTTTCCCAATGTTCAAATGAGGCAGCAGTGAATTGGTATGTCTGAATCAAGAATATCTGTTGCACCGAGAGTGACCCGACTACCGATTAAACCCAATAAAAAAAGTTACGACTGATTTTAACCTATTCTTGCATTCAGATTTTTACTCACAATTACCTTAACTTCTCGTCCAGAAGCCCGCAGCAGATAGCAAAGGTAGATTTGGAATCAGCGTTCCAAGCTCTACAAGGCAGTGTACATCTCATTTCAAAAGGCCACTTCGACCAACCTTCCTTCCCTTGTGAAACCGGGTCAAGATGGATATCTTTCTTGAGTAAAAAGCGAAGGTAATATCGCTTCCGCAGGTTAGCATGACATTGTTTTAGCATGCAAAGGCACGCCGCCGACATATCGGTGACATGGCGATGTGAAAACGGCGGCGTGCGAACAGCCAATCAGCGCGGATCTTCGAAATTGTGCTAAAACAAACGAAAGTCCTGTTTGCAATAAACGCAATGGTACGACACCAAATTTAGGGTGCACTTGCGCTTGGGGAGACTCCAACCGTGGCCCAAAAATTGAGAAATTTATTTGAATGAAAGCTGTGCTCCCTTTTGGTCACATGATTTTCCATATTTTTTTACATAAACTGTATATTCATTGTAAAAGTTTTCAGTCAAGAACAGTCAAGAAACAGTTTCAAAATCTTTCTTTTTTATAGCCACAAAAGATTTTTGTGAAGCTCTGCTCAAATCGTCCGCCCCTGAGCAAAACTACGCCCGCATCTTCCATTTTTGCTGGGCGCTCCGGTCCTCCACCTTTATTTCGGTCTTTGTCTTTTTGTTGTTTTCTAACTTGCAGAGTGGGTTGGCGAGGGCGAGATGGACGAGTAGGGAGAGAGAGAATAAGAGAGGGAGAGTAGAAAGGTGAGGGTAGAAGGAGAGCTGTAGGTTCTTTTCGCTTTTGTGGTCTCCGCTTTTTCTGCTTAATTTTGGGCCGCAACCCCACTAAAATGAAGGGCAAAAGTTAGTGGAGAGGAGTGAAGGGACGATACAAGGGTCAAAAGGGACTTCTTAAAAATTTTAATCAAAGGGGACTTCGTTTCAGTATTCCCTGCCTCCAGCTGGTGCCGAGCTTGTCTCCAATTGTCGCGATTTGCTGGACGACGGGAACGCGATTAACCGAGAGTCGCTCATCGCTGTTACAAGCATACTTCTGCAGCCACTAGATGCACTTAAAACTTCTTCGCGGAGTCTTGCCCAAAATTGTTCTAATGGGTTATTTGATATGGTGGCATGATCGTACCACAATGGCATGATCGCATAATGAAAGTTTTTTCAAAGGTTGTGTTCAGGTGTACGGGAACCAAAGTGTTTGGTAAAGGTTAGGGTAGGTGCGGCCGACACGGGGCTTGTATTGAGGGGGGATAGGGCAAGAGGGCCGTAATCCCGATTCGTCTAAGAGTGAAGAAAAAACCACGATGTGGAAAGCTAAGGAACGAAAGCGCGAGACGGTAAATGTCATCCTTCCTGAAATTATTATCATTATTGCAAAGACTGAACACGGTTGAGGACAACATAATGCACCACTACGCCTGTTATAAGTTCACCAGTGCATCACCTCTGCTTCGCAGAGGCTCGCACTGGCCCTACATTCTGTATGCCTTACTCATTCCCGCATAATAGTGACATTGAAACTCACCGCGTTATGCAGGCTATCACAAATGATTTGTAAACAGCTAGACATTCCTAGAGCTCTTTTGCGTGAAATCGGTATTCTCACGTGGGTGAAACTTTTCTCGGAAGAATAAATGCAAATTTGAGTAGGTTTGTAGACTTTTTATGGCTTGGTAGTCGCCATAACGGTAATAGTCATCGTGAGCTACATCTCTGTGCAAAAATCTTTTCAAATGATCAGGTAAAATCTTGGGAAACTGAGCATTTACGCAACTAATTCTTTTTAGCGCCATCTTCGTAAAGTAACCAACTTTAGTCGAATTTTTTGGGCTAAAGTCCATGGCTTGTACATTAGCTTGTCAAACATATTCACGACTTTGCAAAAAGTTTATATACGGACCCAATTTTGCTGGCCAGAAGTTAAGTGGACCCGTTTTATCGAAACCGCTTGTGCTTTTGCACAATGGACTTCCCTGCTGCTAGGATGTAATATGCAAAATCTAGGCTCAAGAGGTTGGCTGGAACTCTTCCTACGAATTTCGTGACAGACAGATTCTCACACAGAAACACACAAAAACAGACGGCCTTAGCGCGTTATTATAGTAGGATTATTTCCTATCAGTTGAATTTTAAACATAGTTGATGATAGTAATTAGTAATTAAAACAAAAATCAGCCTTTTCATACTCTTAACGAGGTATTAGGTTGAACACTAAGTTTTGCAACTTGTTTCATAACTTCACTCTCATTCAACATGGCGCACTCAAACTTTGGCATCATGTAGAATGCAATGTGAGCTACAAGGGAGCACAAGTTGTCTGAATTTTGAACACGAAATAGAAAAGTTTCAGGCATTTTTCGAAAACTAGTAAAATTTGAGAATTTTTGAGGTTTCAAGCTAAAGTGAAGCCTTTGGCAGCCTAGACCATGCGCAGTAATCCGGATTCGTCTACAAATTATTGCAAGAGGTTGACTCCTTTGGCCTAGCAAGAAAGAAACAAAATTTATGGGCATGTTGAGATTTGGCGTCCTCATAAAGTCGAACGAGTCGATGTACGCAAGAGCTGCTGGGGACGACCGTCAATGACTAAAGAGTCCGAAGCTCAAATTCCGCCGAGACTTCACATAGTAAGGTTATTTGACCTGCCGGATGCGAATATCATATTCATTTGTTGAATCAACGCCTTTTTCCTTGTTTAGGGTGAGACCCCATATCGTACACCTACAGTAATCCTACAAAAAAGCCTTATCACGCAATTTCACTATCGCTTTCGTGATCAGCATGTCGGATAACATCCCTATACCAAGTTTCAGCCAAATCCGTCAAACTTTGAATTTTTCCTCTTCATACCATACACCTACCGTAACCCTCACTGCGTCGTCAGAATTTGGTAGGACAGCAGCTGCGCTTGTAGTATACATAATATCCAACACAGTGGCAAAATTTGAGTGCACCATGTTGAGTGAGAGGGAAGTTATGAGAAAAGTTGCAAAACTTAGTGTTCAACCTAATAATAATCTTTGTTGTTCTTGTTCTAGGATTTCCATATCCTAATGTTTCCAAACAGTGGCTTTAAAAGTCAACAACTGCGTCTTTTACACTGAGTATAAAACGTTTAAAAGACATTGTTTTTACTTTTTGAAGCGTTCGGTTGTGATGGGTTTTCGACACACTAATTGTGACTAGTTGTCACAACCCAAATGCAAGATGATCGACCAATAGACTCGTGACAGTTCTCTTGTCGGAAGAACGGCGAGGCGAGAAAGTTGCTTGAAGTATAGCTCGAAGCCTTACATCCCTAGCGCGGCCAATACGCATGTTAAACGGCATATACAGTAACCGTATTGGAGAAATCATGAGGAGATGAAATCGCCTTTAAGTCCAGGCTTAAAGCAATTTGGATTTTCCTTTGCCATTGGGGTAACTGCAAGTTAGTCACAGTCATAATTAGAAATGATAGAATCTCTAGTGAGTGACTATAGATATACACTACAGACCTTGCTCAATAACAATCGTCAGTATAACTTTTGCCATCTATATGCTACGACCTTTATATCCCACATGTGATCCACCACCTTACGTCATAGAGCTCCTTGCAGGGCTGTTAATAGGTAATCCATTCCGTTAGCAACAGTTTCCAACACTTTCCAACTTCTTTTGAAACTTTTGTTTCAGTTATATTGGGTTTGATCAACTGCTGGTCTGTACGGCTGGCTGCATCTGTTCAAGATTGGCTCACGTATGCGAAGGTGATTGCACTCGTATTGGTGATTATCACAGGTGCTGTACTATTGCTTTTTGGTGAGTTTGAAGCATACCCTTAATGAAGAAAAAGCAGTAGTTTATCTCAGGTGGTCCTCAATACAGGGAGTCGTTTGAAAATATTTTCGAAGGCAACTTTCGAAGCCTTCATTACGCTTCAGTTGGCTTTTATACGGGATTATTTTCATATCAAGGATGGACCTTCTTGAATTATATTACAGAGGAGCTTATCAACCCCAAGAGGTGCGTGAGCGTATTTTGAAGCATGGATGCATAAACGTGCCTTCTGGGAAGGAGAACGCAGCTAAGAAAGAATCTTCATAACCTTCATAATCTGAAGATGCGGGTTTTGTCTCATATTGTCTGCACTTTAGAAAAGGGACGACCAATACCGTGGTCTGAAGAATGCCTTAAACAACAATGCGTTCCTGTTTAATACGTTCTTACTGAAGGGTAGTAGAAGCATTTGACAATGAATAGACGGAAAGAAATGCGAAGCTCCAGAGCTCTAGAATATGAAGCTTTCTTCGAAGCTGTAACACGATCTTTTTGGCTGGTGGCTGCATGCACGAGTTCCACGAACACGTCTGTCCATCGTCGGAGGTCCTTCTCGGGGACAATTCGCTTCGCGAGAAATCCACTCCGATGTTCTTAATATTCATCTGTCGTCTGCCCTTCTCATAATGTGACGGCCCATCGATGCTTCGCTTTTGCAGTGTAATCCGCTGGTTCACGAATACGGGACATTTTTTTTCATATCCGTAATGCAAAGTCCGACAATTGTTTGTATCGGGTCATCTTCAGAAAACTGCGCTCTAGCGCTCCGTGAGTGGTTCGTAGAGCTTTCGACGTGGTTACAGCGTCGGGCCAAGTCTCAGCTGCGTAACAGAGCGCCGGGAGAACGGATGAGTCGAACAAGTGGGCACGATGCTCCGGGTCCGTCAGTTGGTCAGTGGTTTCTTTCAGAGGCCCGAAGGCAGCACAAGCTGCCCTTCTTCTCCTGTTAAGTTCTTCGCTCAACTCGTTCTCCATGTTCGTCGAACGTCCGAGATACACGTAAGAAGAGTCTCCATATAGAGAGGCTTTCCTGTTCCAGTTCTGCATCTTCGCAAAAAGCGTTCTTCATGAACTGAGTTTTCTTCCGATTTATTCGCAACCTTCCGTTCTTCTTCCCTAATTCGTTTAGTTCCTTTAGCATCATTCTGCTTCAGTGATACTGCTCGAGAAGAGAACGATGCCGTCCGCAAAACGAAGATTCGACAGGAATCTCCCGTCAACTCGTATGCCTCCCTTGTCTCAGTCCAATGACTTCATCACCCACTGCAAGACAGCAGTGAACAGCTTCGGCGGGTTGTGTCGCCTTGTCGGACCTCCTTCCCAATTGAAATGGTCAGGGGGCGATGGGACAGCTGCATCGTCGTTGTACAGTCCTTGTAGCAGACGCTAACGTCCTCCTCACGTAAGCTGGGTCCACTCCTTGATCGACTAGCGCAGACAGGATGGCGTTGGTTTCGACGCTGTCAAAGGCTTTCTCGTAGTCGATAAAGGTTAGGACGAGAGGCACTCGGTATTCCCGGCAGACTTCTATGACCCGCGAAACCGTCTGGATGTGGTCCATGCAGCTGAATCCTTTGCGAAATCCAGCTTGTTCTTGGGGTTGGGCTTCATCCAGTGTCCTAGATAGCAAGCAAGGATATCTTCGTGAAAAGCTTGTATAGCACACTCAGCAGGCATATTGAACGGTAGTTCCGAAGATCTTCCCGCTCACCCTTCTTGAAGAGTAGGACGGTTCTTGACGTTTTCCACGTCGGAAATACTCTCCTTCTGCAGGTAAGATATTAGGTGCGAAGCGAGAATCTCGTGTAGACGTTGTCCTCCGGCTTGCAGAAATTGACAGTAAGATGGTCTGGTCCTGGAGTCGTGGACGTCCTTATGGTCAGAATCGCCATTCGCAGCAGGTAGAATTCGTAGGGGTACTTCTCCAGCGGGACAACGGGCATCGGCACGGGTGTTAATGAGCGGAAGAGGTTAGTGTAGAAATTCTTCGCGATAGAATCCATCTTGTATCGGGAAGAACTCGGAGTCCCGTCTTCGTTCAATAGTGCAGCTAGCGTAGGTGATATTCTTAAGAAGTGCCGAAGGGACCCTTGTGAATATCACCTACGCTAGCTGCACTATTGAACGAAGACGGGACTCCGAGTTCTTCGGACGGACACCTTCTCTTCGTTTTCCTTCGGCTGCTTCCAGGATCTTGGCTTGCTTGTATTTCGTGAGACCTCTTGCAAAGCTGTTCTGCAACTGGCGTTGGCTATCAATCGCTCGAGATGGGTTGCATTCGGATCCTGCCTCAGAAATCTTCTCCTTTCGAGCAATTTATTGATGGTCTTCGAAATGCGTTCTAAGTTCTTCTCAGAAGTCACTGAGCCGCAGGCTTGCAATCCTTTCAGAGGCCGGTCGTAGTCGTACGTTGGGTCCTCCTCGATGGGACTGTCAACTTGATATGAGCTCTTCCAGCCTGTTACCGCCATAAACGACTTCCTTCCTTCTCGCGGCACGCGGCACTGAGATTTTCTTTTCCAGCCTTTGGCTGAGTCGTATCTTCGCTCGAAGGAGACGGTGATCGGAGCCACTGCAGAAGGATGAAACTGCTGAGACATCAAGCAAGCTCCACCTTCGGTTGGTGAGGATGTGGTCCATCTCCGCGTTAGCGTTCCTTTGGGCGATTCCCATGTCCACCGGCGTCTTTCTTCGTGAAGATGGAATTTCCATGGGAAAGTCGTGCGACGGAGAGAAACACTTCGATACGGTTGCCGTTTTCGTTCCGGAGCCCCATATCCAAGTTTCCCAATCCTAGATTCCTTCTCTAGTGGTATTCCGATCCCACCCACAACATACTTGTAGAAGAACTTTTCGTGCGAACGTCCTCCTTCACGTCTTCGTAGAAAGCATTTAGTTTTGAGCCGTCAACTGCTGATGTTGGAGAGTGGTAGTTGACGATGCTGATGGTCTTCTGACGTGGAGGGCGTATTCGTAGGATGGCTATTCGAGGTGATAGGATCTCATGGGAATTGACAACATGGACGATAGATGGGTAGACGACAAAGCCAACGCCTCCAACATTTCGTGGTGGAACTTTTTCACCACGAATGATGAGCGTCCCATCACTCATCCGTCGAGCGTCCTTCTTCCTGGACTTCGTTTCCTGCAGATCGATGATGTGGTAGTTGATGTGCTCTGCAGCGTCGAGAAGAGCGTGTAGGTCGGCGTTTGTGGAGACTGTCCTGGCGTTGTAGGTGCAGAGCATGAGGCAGTCTCCATGGCGTGTCGTCCGGGCAGACGTGTCGTTTTTGTCCAATCCGAAAGGCGCCCTGAGTACCCTGACATCGTTCTTGCTACCACTCGGCGCCGTGGGCGAGATACAATGTACAGGGTTTTTTCTTATTTTCTTGCTGACTTAGTAATAAAATTTGTTCCCCTGCAAGAGCAGACTTAGTAGGCCTACTCTCAATTTCCACGGCGCGATCGCTGACCCCGGGCTTGGAGCGGGGAGAACCGCCCAGCGATCAGAAAACCAGACGGCGATAGATCTGGCCTGGTCGGCTCTTAGCTAGGCATCCGGCCGAAACAGGAAACGTCGAACTCCTTCACAGCTTGGGAGGCCCTGCCAGAGTATACACTCGGCTGTGTATCGCAGTTCGACACCCAGTAGCACTGTTTGGCGTATTACAAGTATAATTTTTTTTAGAAATTTACCCTTGGCTGTTATTATCTCATGTACGATCTGCACTGTTGTGTACACCCTCTTCAATGTTGCTTTGTACACGGTAATTTCACCCGATGAAATGCTTATTAGTCCTGCTGTTGCTGTAGTAAGTCCCTGAAGCTTGCAACATCATAAGGATAAAGTTTCTTTTATTACAGCTGTTTGCTGACAAGGTGTACGGTAAGCTTTCGTTTATTATGCCGTTTTGTGTGGCAGCTGCAACGGTAGGCTCTGCGAATGGTGCAATCTTAACCAGCTCAAGGTAAACTTGGACTAACTTAGAGTTTCTAGAGAAAAGAAGCATTGGTTTACAGACTGTTTTTCTGTGGAGCTAGAGAAGGTCAAATGCCAGTACTGCTGACGATGATCAACAAAAGGCTGCGCACACCTATTCCTGCCGTTGTATTCACAGTGCGCAAAACACCGTTCAGCAAAGCATACTAAATTTAATCTTTTAGTGTTTTCTGTCAATCGCTTATCTGCTTTTGTCAAGTAATCTTTATGTGTTGATAAATGCGAGTCAAGTGACAGCCTGGCTTGGAATCACTGTCGTCTCATTAGCATTACTAAGGCTCCGCTGTTTGTATCCGGATGCGGAAAGACCAGTAAAGGTATGAATGGTTTTTGGAGCAATTTGCACGACTGAAAACTGTCATATCAATTAAGGTTAATCTCCTGCTGGTGATCATATTCGTGATTGGTTCGTCTGTCATAGTCATTATGCCAGTATTTGGATCTCCTTTAGATACAGGTGGCTGTCCTATAAAATTTATATGTTTAGTGCTGTAATCTTTGTACCGTTTTTCTTGCTCTTTCTGATATTTCTTAAATTTTAACATTTTCATTCTGACGGGATTGCATTCCCGAAAGCGTAGGTGGCAAAAGTACGACGATCCTATTTGAGCAACATGTTTCTGTAAAAATTTTCCAAAAAGTGCTGGCCAAGTAACAATGATCACTGAAAAAGATATAGGGCTAGCTGTGTAGGGCTAGCTTTTGCACAAACTCTTTTTACACGAAAATTACTTGGTGGTGAATAAATTGCCGAGAACTAATAATGTTAGTAGCGATTTTGTAAGCAACAACATTCTGCGAATAAAGTCGATGAGTCCACCTTTGTTCATGTAGTGGCACAAGACCAGAAAACGACCTTTCACCAAATACATCATAAAAGGCGTAATTGCGTGAACGAAAGAACGGTTGCACCTCAGTGTAATTAGTCACGTGGTCGCGAAAAAGAGAACTTGCTGATGCAAATACTTGAAACTTTTTCCAACCGGTATCAATACTTTGTTGTCGAGCTATAGCCGTTGCTTGTTTGAAAGATGCTTCCTTCCAGCTTATGGCTTGGCTATAATGCTCTCTGCCGTGCCTATCTATGTCTTGTTTATCGGAATGGATGTGATCCCCAATTTTATCAGAAGGGCTTTTGGTAAGACACTATTTACTCAGAGTACGCATGGAATAGAAACTTCAACAGTTTCAGAAAATATGACCATATTTGTTCAAAAACTGTTCATGGTGCTTGATGACAGCGATTATACTAAGGACTAGCTCGTTTATTTTGTAGTTTTATTCTCCAAAAAACAAATATACCAACTTCTAATCTTTGCTCTTAAAAAGAAATATTCTTAAATGATTTTTTGTTTGATTAAGCTTGACAATAAACTGTTGAAGAAAATTTTATGTTCCAAAACAACTGCGGGACACTCGGTAGACTAAATACACACACACACACACACACACACACACACACACACACACACACACACACACACACACACACACACACACACACACACACACACACACACACACACACACACACACACACACACACACACACACACACACACACACACACACACACACACACACACACACACACACACACACACACACACACACACACACACACACACACACACACACACACACACACACACACACACACACACACACACACACACACACACACACACACAAGCTTTGTTATTACTGTGAAGTTGAGAAATTGTTTGAATTTACTAATCCAAGACAGTAACGAAACGGAGACTAACAAGGGAATGGTTAGAACTGGTCAATCCAAGCAAGCTGCATACAATTGGATGCAGCATAGAACGCTGACATTAAATTTCTTTTCTTATCTGCTGATCGCCTTTGTAGACGAAGTTATGAGTAGTTTTAGTGCAAGAAAATCGCATATAAGAATTGGCCCATTATTGTGCTTCTAGCTCATCTTTAAAGATGGGGTATACTAACTGGCCGCTGCATGTAATGGCCAAACAGTGGGCCTTACCTGACTCTGTGCGGCCAAATTTGCGCTTTATACCCGATTTCCTAATGTTATAATGGCTTATGATGGCTTATGGCTTCGTCCGCAGAGGCGCTTGGCAGGTGTGGAAGACTATATGAAGTCAGCGTTTCATGCTGCATTCAGTGGTATGCAGCTTAATCAATGGTATGCAGCTTAAAACGCTGATTTTCGCACACGCATGAATGATCCGTACCTTTTTTTTGAGTGATACTTGCAATCTTCACACTGTGAAAAGTAAACAACGAAGCAAACACACGATAATCAGGTCGATTAGCGACGTCATCCGACCAGGTAGAATGCATCAGTTTGCGAGGTGTTTTCAATGACACGGACAGCACTACCTGCACACTGCAGGTAGAAATAAACTCAAGTTTTTGAATTAAGAGAAATGTATGTCTGTTATGTGATAGCTATAAACAAAAAATGTATGTCTGTTATGTGATAGTTATAAAAAAACAAGGCATTTCAACGAACTGAGTACATCCTCTGAACTGATGTACCCACAGTTTAAGGGAGATTCTGACTGTTTGCGTCGAGCATATGAGCTGCTGGCGCAACTACTCTCATATGCGCATCAAATCGGCCATTGAAATGGTACGAAATAAGCATTGTCGCTTGAAATGCATCGCAGGCTGTAAATAGCTCCCGCTTGAAGCGTATCGTAGAGTACAAAATTGAAATGGGTCCGTGCATATAGTTATAGTCTACTTTTCAAATCCGCAAAAACCCTACTCCAAGCCATATTACAATACTTCATACCGTTTAGAAGAAAATTCTCAGATAACATCTTTTGCTGCAAATTCATCCCCATTGCTTGCATGTGAGTTGTCGGGAACAGTGGGGAACAAAAAGTATTTTGATAATTACAAGCAGAATCTGTAAGAGAAGGCATAAATGTCTTGTACAAGGACGACGAAAGAGGGATTCTGCGCAAAATTCCGATCATATTGTGCAGTACCTGGGTTCCGCAAAATATATAGTCTTATAAACGGCACATTCTCCTTCTTGCTCACTTCTCAATATTGATACTCACCTTGCATAAAATGGAGCAGAAAAGGTTGCTGTTATGCCATTACGTGGCCTAGTTGGTCACATGCCGAACCTGTGAACGCACTAAGAAAATCAAGGATCAGAATTACAAACAACATAATAGAACCCAAATATCGAGACTGATCAATTGAATGAAAAAAATAAAACTATAGACATCTTGAAGGTGAGAAGTCTTTGAGAAGACGATCTTTTGAACTAATCAAAATCTACATACATATTCTCCAGTGTATAGGTTGAAAACCAACACTCACCAGAAATTAACAAAAAAAAGTTTTTGTAATTGGATAAAAAAAGTTTTGAGGATTATTTTAAAGTCGAATTCCTATAGCTGGTGGTTAATTCAGAAGTGAAATGCGAACGAATTGAGGGAAATATCCTACCTGAACAACTCCAAACCTCGCAGGAAAGCGTCGAAAGCCACTTACTTCGGAAAATAACACTGGCACAGAGAGTTTGAAAAGAAAAAACATTTGGGAAGAATAAAGAGAGAGAATGAAGAAGAACGCGAAGGTGAAAACGCAGTGAAAATGATTGAAAAGCAAATTCCGTCATCCCTGGCTAGGAACACGGGCATTGAATGAAATTCCCATAGAGACCTCTTGCGGTACCCGTTATGCGAGCGCCAGTACGGCGCTGTCTCGGCGCTGTCTCGCCGGGAATTCCAGTAACAGTTCCTTTACATCACAGGAAAGCTTTCCGCACGGCGTTCTTCAACTTGTCAGTTCCCCACATTTGAATCTGCCGAACCATCTCCATCGTCTTGCAAATTCGCAAAAGGTGGAGGCAGAGGTCTCGCCTATCTATGTGTTTTTTACGTTTGTATTAGGTTGTAAGGAAAGATTCCTGGCAATTGCAAAATTTTTTTTTCAAATCGCTGTAACTTCAAGCAGGTTGATTCTTTTTTGAAGCTACAAACTCCATTGCAAAGACAATTTTGTCCGCAACATATACCTGTCTTGCTAGCTTCTCAGCGCCTCACTGCGGTCCACCAGCATGCGCAGAAGGGAAAAAGGTCGTAGCGAAAAGGGGCCCATTTGTGCAGGATTATCTAAGGCATGATGAGAGCTGGAGAGCCTAGAGCTGTAGTTATATACAGGATGTCCCAAAAGTCTTTGAGCCTAAGTTTTCAACGTTGTAACTTCGTTAGTACTCCTCACTTTTCAGTCAAATTTTGCGTATGAGTACTTCGTCTAGTTCTAAGTATTCCTCAAGAAAATCGTACCGTTTGCACTGTACATTCTCAAAATATTGTTTTTGGAGCAAACTACTACGACTTTGTAAGCAAACCAATGTTAGCGTACCCTTTACCCAAACATCTATAGCTCTTTTGCCTTTGGAGCTCTTGCGGAATCTTGAATTGTATATTGTAGGGCTAGCTTCACTTTACGTCTACAGTGCAGAACTAATCAGTAGTGTCTATTTATTAATGCAGTATTAAGATACAAACACTCAAAGTAGTGCCGTGTCAATTGGAAGAAAATTTTTCGGAAACAAAAATTCGAGAAAGTTGAAAACTCCAACACCAATTCAGTTTGAATTGGTGATTCTAGCTGTAAACTCTGCATTTTTTGCTGAAATATCATTTTAAAGTCTTTTCATGCACACCAAAATTGCTGTTTTCTTGATGTTTTCAAGAACTTGACTGCTACATTTTGACAATTTTGTTAAATCTTACAGACGTGCTTCTCAAATCAACTTGCTTTTAATCGCCGGCTCAAAAGTCTTTGACTTTTCTTTGTAATCAGCCATGGAAAGCAAGGCTTGCTCTGTTCCACATTAAATTTTTGGGCAGTCTGGAACGCTTGCTTCAGAAGGTGTGAGACATTCTCGACGTCACCATCTGTCTGCCACGGTGCATGCGTTGAGCAAGAGTGTGAGGGCTTGTGTGAAGGCCAAATAAGGGTTTTTCGAAATCTGAGTGTACCTCGTTATTTTGTAGATTCTTCACAAGATTCCTGCTAAATTTCGTATGACAATGTTGCTTCGTATAATTACAGCTGAGGAAATTCTAGGCTTAAAGACTTTTGGGACACCTTGTAGAGGTCTGCTGGGGCTGTTATGGGGACCAGTTTTTGAAGGAGTACCTGCAAAAATTTTTTTTCAGAAAGTTTCAAAAATCGATCATTTTTTTGCCCCTAAAAATGCACCATTTTTCGACTAAGTGACTTTGAAGTTTTGTCGTTCTGCACAGGATGGACCAAATCTCTGATTACTGGGAACATTGTTGGGGTAATGGCTTGCACACCTTTTGGACCCATCATCCAGGCGTGGCGATTCCCGCAGAAGCGACGCCAGCTGCGAAAAGAGTTTCAGTCAGAAGCAACTTCTACAGCTTGTAATTTCTGAGCGCAAATCGCAAAACTCGAGTGCAGCTGCGGATCAGAAGTTAACAGGCTTCTCAATCAAATCACCTATATTGGTTGACACACAGATTAGCGTATTTGTTTATCGGAAAACAGCTATCCCTTGACGCGTGGAAGTTCGGCGAAGCGTGAGCCGGTCGACTTCGAGCAGCGTACAGAGGCAAGAATGTTCCCTCAGCTCCATCATGCCCTTTTAGTACCGTTTCTCGCTTGTTGCTAGATCGCGGCATGATATGCGGTCAGGCAGCATATCATGCCGGCCGTTCCCAGGCTCGCGCGATTTGCTTACATTTTTGCGATCGCTCCGCGATACTCCCGCCGGCGTCGTGAGAGGAGCTTTATGAAGCGTAGCGATGAGTAGCAGAAAGTGTGAAGCGAAGCGTATACAATGCAGTCCAAACATATTTTCTCACGCGTGACGTCTCATTGCTTGCGTTCTTCGCGTAGCTGGCGTTCGATGTTGCGCCTTCTCTCGCGGTTCCTTTCTAGTCCTTCGCGTGCAGATCGTAGTTGCTCAAGCATTGGTTGGCTTTCCTCTGGCAATTCACAAATGGCCGAATGGTGTCCGAAACCACGGCAGTGGCAGCATTTCACTGCGTACTTTCGACAGTAGATGTCTTCCGCGCATTCTGTGGTTAGACACATGACACAGCGAAGCTCAGCTCGCAATACATCTCGGCGTGTCGCTGCGTCCGCGACAATCTGACACGGGTCTGAATAATGGTTGCTGACGCGTTTACAAAACACACACTAAATGGTTTCTTCCTCGCTGCGCAAAATGAACCCATTGAGAAGCGTCTTGGTGGGCAGGTTCTTCGTTGCGA